GGACCCGTCCCATCTGAAGGGGGGGGACTGTGAACCCTCGACCAGGTATCATAGATCTCTACATTTGTGTATATATATGTATCTATATATATATATAAAGATAGACATGCATGCATGTGCCCGCCATGGGGCCGTGCAGAGAGAAGGCCTAGAGAAGCACGTAGGGGCTAGAGAAGCAGGGAAGCGGGCAGTGACTGGCGGAGGGAGGCACATCGCGCAGGGAGCAGGATCAGTCAACATCGGATCGGAAAATCGGTCCGAGCCGAGATATGCGTCGGATCGGGCTGCATCCGGCACGGAGTCGAGCTCCGACCATATCGGCTGCGCCAGGGTGCACAACAGGGCCCTGCAGGCGTCGGGCCGCCTCGCGTCGCCGGAAGATCGCAACTGTAGGGGGCCACATGTGAACCCTACCCCTCCCCCCACGAGTTCCGAGGGGGAGGGTGGGGCTCACTTCGTTCGGGAGCTCCCGAGCGAAGCGAACCCCACCCTCCCCTCAAAAATCGTGGGGGGTAGGGGTAGGGTTCACATGTGGCCACCTAAACCGGACCAGGTCGTGCCGGCCGAAAGCGCTATCGAGCCTCAGCGACCGGAACGAGGAGGAGGAGGAGGAGGAGGAGGAGGAGGAGGAGGAGGAGGAGAAGGAGGGGAAGGAGGAGGAGAAGAAGGAGGAGGAGGAGGAGGAGGAGGGGGAGGAGGAGGACGAGGAGGAGGAGGAGGACCCCGAGGGCAGCCCGGTGGTCTCCGGGAGCCCGCCCGCGGGCCTCCGGCGGCCGCCCAGGGCCAACGGGGGGCGCACCCCCGGCACACGCCCCCAGCGGGGCGCAGCTGCCGGGAGACACCCCGAGGCCGGAGGAGCGCCGAGGACCGGCCGAAAGCGTCCGACGCCTCGAGCCTCGAAGCAGAACAGCATGATCAACAAGTCCATTAAGCAGATCAGCGACTTCGAGGACCTGACTCAGGCAGTGGAGGCCGCGATCCCCGAGAGCAGCGCCTTCATGAATCAGGTCAACCTCAACCTCGCGCCCGAGCTGGACCACCTCAAGGAGGACGATCGAGCGGAAAGGAGCCTGACATCGGGCGGCCCGGCCCGCTCGAACCGGATGGTTCGCCGGGTCGAGCCTCGAGAGGGAAGGCAGGGGCGCCCCAGGTCTCGCGGTCTCCTCGGCGAGCCGGTGGGCAGGGCCAAGGTGGCCATGGTCGGCCCAAACTGGAACAGGCTGTGCGCTGGGCAGCCCCTCGCGCCTGGATGGAAAACACCGCAGACTGCATGACAGCAGTACAAACAACACTGCAGGCATTCCATGCGACGCAGAAGAACATACTAGTACTCCGTGTCCTCCTTGGAGGCGTGCGTCCGTCCGACCCGAACACATCATAGAAACAGACTGTAGCATATCGTTTCCCGAACGGCATGGCCAGAAAGCGCCCGCCACGGGCTTATGCCAGAAGATTTCTCGGCGCATGCCTCCCCCCGCGGGGGGGGGGGGGGGGCGACGCACAGATGGCGGTAGCATGCTGGGGCGACGCCGACGCCAAGGCGTCTGGACCAAACCCTCCAGGCCAAACTGGCATGGCAGCCCCCAGGAGGACGGAGGGGTGGTCCCAGGCCTCGCGGGGAAGAAAGGGGGGCGGCCAGCAGGAGGAGGAGGAGATGGAGAAGGAGGAGGAGGAGGAGGAGGAGGTGTGGGAGGAGGACCTATAGAGGCAGGAGAGCAGGAGGAGGAGGGATGGAGGAGGAGGAGGACCGCCCTCCGTGCCGGGCCTAGTGCCAAGTGGCCGCCCAGGATCCCATGGTCATGAAGTCCAGGGGACGTCCTAGACGGGCGGGGCGGCCTCATGCCGCCTGCTCATATCATCCTCCGCCTCCGCATCGTCCTCATGCTCCTCAGGCTCATCAGACATCAGTAGCCATATCCTACGTCAAAAAGAATACTCAGAACATCATCCTAATCATAATTCCAACCTACCCCCATCCTACTCCTCCTACTCCTTCCTCATCCCCCTCGTCGTCCACCACTCCACTCCACTGAGTCCCCATACCCTTCCTCCTTTCTCCATCTCCTCCTCCTCCGCCGACTTCAGCCTCCTCCTCTCCTCCTCCTCCGTTCCTCCTCCTGCATCCTCCTCCTCCTCCTCCTCCTCCTCCTCCTCCTCCTCCTCCTCCTCCTCCTCCTCCTGGTCGCCCCCATTTCTTCCCCGCGAGGACTGAAACCTGTGCTCGTGAGGCGAGAGCTATGTAATAGAATCGTCAAAAAAATGGCAACCTCTTTGCTCATTGCTCGTCGGGCCTCGAGCCAGCGCGTGAGAGCACGGTACTGATGAGACGACATGCCTAACTGGTCTTAGACATGATATCTTCAACTCTGGCCCTGTATTGTTTAGGACATGTTGGATCACAAGAAAAAACTCAACCACTCGGGGATATTGGAATTCGGTGGCGGCTCTGGAAGCAAATCAACGAGGTGAAACGCGAGATGGGAGGTAGGAAACAGCCCGATGAAAACCAACAGTTTCATATCAAAATCACCACGGCCACCAAATATTCAATCCACTGATAAGATATCCAAGTGAACTCTATTTTGTTGGGTTAGCCGACATCGTTATGAAGTAGCTGTCGTAGCGTCCAGTCTGGCACTGTCCAGTCCAAATCCTTGTCGATCTCGTAGTGTACCTCCGATTGTCCAGCAGCCTGTCGTGATAAGCTCCAGAAGTGACCTCGAGTCTGCTCCAAGATACTTTGTCAGCATAACTGGGACCACCCACTCATTTGGAACATGATAGAGTCGTCGCAGCCTCAAGGTCCGTCGCTCCTCGAAGAGCCAGACAACCCAAACATCGAGACTTGTCCTGAGGCGCGCCTCGATGTCCACAACATTGAACAATCCACAAACGCGTCAACCGGTAGATTCAGTTGTCCGCGCTCGACTCGCTCTTGAAACTGTAACGGTTTCTGCGGACCACCAGAGCCGAAGGGTAAGGCCACGGCCAGGACCAAGGTAGCCGCCGCGCCAGCCGGTGGCCGCAAGATGGCGGAGCAAGATGGCGGAGCAACCGCTACTCCCACCCCTTCAGGCGATCCTGCAATTCGGCCCTGGGAACTCTTTCCTTGAATGGGAGCCGGCGCCAGCTGGTGCTGGCGATCAACACCACGAGGGGGAAATGCCAGCCAGTGGACGCGTTGACGACACACATGCCCGCGAGGACAACGAGGGGCCAACCAAGGAGCTGGTGTCGCCGAACTCTCCGGGCATGGCCGTCATCTTTGGGATTCTTGAATTTCACCCATTGGCCTGTAAACTCAGCATGAAGCTTTCGGACTCAGCGAGCAAAAAAAACATCACCATCACATCAACACCACACATCATCACCACCATCATCACCAAAACCAAGTGTCCGTGACAGCGAAGCAGAGGCAGTCCGCACGCGCGTTCAGCAAGCCGAATCATCAACAATAATATGCCCCAACAGCATCACCACCACTCATCACTATCCATCAACATCACCCAGCACCACATCATCAACCACCCACCACACTCGACCATCATCAACATCACCATGAATCAACATCACCCTGCACTTCAACGTACACTTTTTTTGGTCGGCGGGTCGAGAGCGGGCCTCTTCCGGTTCAGAGCTAGGCGGGGCGCGCGAAGCACTAATTGGGGAGACAGGGCGCGGGCGGGCGGGGCCTCAGGCGGCCGAATCCTCAACTTACACACACACACACACACCACGGGTCCCCACATAATTAGGACTGGCCAGGTGCCAATCGGTCCGAGCCCTGCCTCGGCCACGCGGGTCCCCGCCAAGCGGGCTCCCGACGAACCGGGCCGCTGGCGAAGAGGGTCGGGGCGGAGCGGGGCTCCAGCGAGACGGACCCGTGCCATGCCCGTACCACCGAAGGGGCCCTGGGACACACAAATAAATACACACGGTTTTTTATAAATATATATATATATATATCTATATATATATATATATGTATTGCCATATTTTGGGGGGTTTTCGTCTTCCCCCCCACTTCCCATGTTTTCCCATATTTTCTGGGGGATCGACGATTCATTGCGTCTGTATGTTTTTTCCCCCCTGAACCACGCGGCGGCCCAGCCGACGGGAGCGCGCGGCCCGTGCAGTCGCGAGGGGAGGGCAGGCTCGGCTCTCCGGGGGCTGCCTGCGGCCGCGTGCGCATACCCTACAGGGCAGTTTTTGATACATAGGATTTTGAAAAATATCGGATTTTTAATGCATGATCAATATATGAATAAATGTATGCATGAGCTCATCGTTGTTTTTAGTACTAAGTCCCTGCATCTTTAATACATGATCCGCACGCGGAGCATGTATTAAAAACGGCCCTGTACGGGGGCTCCGAGCATCGAGAGACCACTACCGATTCGCACCCAGCGTTCGAGGGGAGGGGGGTAGGAAGTTTGTCCGTCGGCGGCGAGGCAGAGGCGGTCCATTCCAGCGTGCGGCAATTCGGGGCAACCGAGTGGCCAAACCGCTGGCATGCAGGAGAGGGAAAAGGACGAGGGCGGCGAGTGGGCAGAAACATGCGGTGCGAAAAGGTAGACTGTGGTTCCGCCCACCCCCCAGGAAAGTGAGGACAAAGGGGAAGCCACTTGGCCCCTGAAGTAAGAAGGCGCCAAGAGCCCACTGGAGCTCGGGAAGCCAGCGATACCTACTTTCAACGAACGGTGGTCGGCGGCGAGCGAAGGAGGGGGAAAAGAGAAGGAGAAGGCCTTCTCAGAAGACGGCGGGGCTTCGCAGAAGGCCTCCGATCTTCTGAGAAGCTTTCTGCGCCTTCGGGAAGGGCCCACAAGACTTCTCTCGGACGGCCAGGGGGACTTCCGAGCCTTCTGGGAAGGCCCTCCCCTTCTCACTCTCCCCCCCCCTCGCTCGCCGCCACGGATCCCTGTCGCCTCCTCTCCGGGTGCCGCAGGCAGCCGCGGAGGGGGGGGGAGCCCCCGACGGGGGGGGGGGGAGGCCGCCGACTCTCCTGCCGCAGGGCGCGCCTCAGCTCCTCGGACTCCCGGGACAGCCGGAAGCTCTGCGGCATCTTGTTCACGACCTGCCCGGCAGGGGCAGGGAGGGCGAAGGAAGAGCGACGAGGGGCGAGGGAAGAGCGACTATAGGTGGCCCCAAAGAGAGCCCCGGGAGGCCCCCACCGAGGCCCCGAAGAGGCCCCGCGCATGTCCCCAGGAGTTCTCCAAGAGGCCCCCCCAGAGAGGCATCCCGAGAGACCCTCGGATTCTTCCAGGAGGCTCCTGACCACCAAGATACATCTTCCACGATCGGCTCAAACACTCACTCCTTGCGAGGGCCAACGGAATGGCGAAAGCCACATGAAGAATTGCTAGGCTCGTTCTGCTTACCTGTTGCTCCCGACTATCCCTGGCTGGGTTTTCGCTCTAAATTGAGTATTGCTACTCCTGTCTCGTCCCCTCCTACCTTTTCGTGTCTCCCCATACCTTCGGGAGCGGCCAAGAGGGGGGTGTCCAAGAGAAGGGGGGGGGGGGGCAAATCATGACCGGCAGCATGTGCGCGGCCCAGCGGGGGGCCAGGGACGAAATGAAACAAGACGAGGCGCCATGAAATAAATCTGGGGAAATGTCATGGCCCCCGCCATGATATCCAGCCCCCCCTAGTCATCACCCCCCTCTTGGCCGCCCCCGATACCTGCTGGATCGCGTGCAACCAGCCACGGGTGCTCAAGCAAGTCGCGCCGAGCATCTGGCAGACGCCTTCCTGGACTCCACTGGAAGTCCAGGCTGAGAGATCCACCCGCCAGGCCACCGCCTCGTCTGCACAAACTGGCAGAACAGGTCATCACACCGACCCGCTCGAACATCGTCACCACCGAGTTTGGTGAAGGAACGATCACGGCTTGGCATCGCTCGAACGTGTGCATTTTTCCTCGGCGAGGACAATCGAGGAGCATCCTGGATAATCTTGCGAAGGAAATGAGCGCATAAAAAAGAACGCACCAGGAATGGACGTCCGAGCCCTGCAGCACCTGGTGTTGCTGCGCCGTTGGCTTCGCTACGGAGGCCGGGTCAGACAGAGAGCTCTGTGTCGTTCGTTGGGGCCGTGAGCTGCCACTAGGGCGGACGTGCGCAGATAGGTGCGCAGATAGATGTTTGCGGCGTGGCCGCGGCCTCGTTCAGGGGCGTGGCTGTGCTCGCACAAAGGTCCTCGCCCCCCCACCCCTCCCGCCCTCTGCCTCCCTCCCTCCTCCTGTCTGCTGTCTCCTGTCTCCTGTCTCCTCCTCCTCCTCCTCCACCTCCTGCTCTGCTTATGATTGTTATCAGTAACCTTAGCATTAAGATTCATAGCATTAACAATATTATTATTAGTCTTCTACGATTACAAACATTCATAGTATGAACATTATCATCAGCAATATTAAGTTTAGCAGTCTTAGTCGCATTATTGTTAGTACTATTATTAGAATTAGTATTAGTATTAATAGTAGTAGTAGTAGTAGTAGTAGTAGTAGTAGTAGTAGTAGTAGTAATAGTAGTAGTAGTAGTAGTAGTAGTATTGTTGTTGTTGTTATTATCATTCTTAGTATTAGTATTATTAGTAGTATTGTTTGTATTAGTAGCATTAGTATGATTAGTATTACTTATATTGCTAGTAAGTTTAATTACAACTGTCTGACTCTTACTAGTATTATCATGTTCAGCTTGCCCTTATTAGTCGTCGCATCAGTATTATTCTTATTGCTCATAGTAATATTCTGCGTAGCAATGCAATTGCTGTTATTCTTCTTATTCGTAGTATGCGAATGTGTAAGATTACTATGTTATAGTATTAATACTCTTAGTCGTAATAGTATAACCAGTTGTATGGGTGCTCTTATTTTCAGTGTTGATGTGAGTATGAGTCGTATTATTTGTATTATTAGTTGTAGTAGTAGTAAGAGTAGTTTTGTTATTAGTAGGTGTATGAATATGTTGTGTATTTCTATTCGCAGTCTTCATATTATCAGTGAAGGCGTTAGTATTCGTAGTACTATTCGTAATATTCTTAAATTTAGTATTAATCATAGTAGGAATACGATTTGTATTATTAAAGTTCGTATTATGCGTATTCGCCGTGTTATTACTATGAGTATTGCTAGTGATCGCCATGTTAGTATTCGTATTGTTGTGTGTGTTTGTCTTCGCATTATTCTGAAGAGTGTCAATATGTTTCTTATGATTATCACTGTTATGATGGCGTGATGCTCCTTGTTATTCGTCTCATTAGTATTCGGATTAGTATTGTTCTTATTCACCTGCTTAGTATTATGATTATGGTTTCATGTGATTCGTCTTCACATTCGTCGTATGACGTACTATTATTATGCTATCGTTTGTCTTACTATTATTAGGATTGTGGCCTCCTCCTCATCCTCTTCCTCCTCCTCTTCTTGCTCCTCCTCCTCCTCCGCCTCGTCCTCCGCCTCCGCCTCATCCTCCTCCTCTTCCTCCCGATTCCTGTTGGCATTGGTGTTCTCCGAACGCTACCGCGTCCCCCAGGGCTGGCCAAAACCAGCCTTGAGGGAGTACGATATAAAAGTCAGAAAACCTGGCGGGTGCCACTGGCCGTAGACGGTGGCCGGCCACACTCGCCAAATGGGAAGGCAGAAGAGCCTCTCCCCCTGCACATAGGAAGCCCCCCGAAGTGATCCCCATCCCCGCGACCCGTCCACTCCCCTGCAGGCAGGAGTCGGGTACTCAGACCGCGGAGGTTGGGGCCACTTGGGTGATTTCCACAGTGCTTGGGGGAGGTTTATGCTTTCCATGGCGGCGGCACGGTGGCAGCGGTGCTCCTCCTCCTCATCCTCCTCCTCTTCCTCCTCCTCCTCCTCTTCCTCCTCCTCCTCTTCCTCCTCCTCCTCTTCCTCCTCCTCCTCATCCCTCCTACTCCTCCGTTCCGCGGCATTACGGCCCCCCGCGTTGGGGTTAGGAACGACCAACTCCCCCGCCGTGGGGGCTTCGTCGTCTTTCGCCTGCCTTCGTTGTCGTGTCCTCGTTTCGTCTGTCGTCGCCGCTTTGGGTCCTCAAGTCAGGTTCGACCCCTGGCAGTTGGGTCTCGCCAGCGGCGGGGTGTTTAGATCCTCGCCGACCCCATCCCCCCTTCCCTTCTCGGGGTGTTACGGAACTGCCCTGGTTGACTCCATCGTCCCTCGAACGAAGCAGGTGCACAGGCCTCGGGGCCGCCTTTCGGATGACGCGTCCAACAGGATCTTGGAGTGCTGCTTTTGGGGCTGGAAGGGCAACTGCACAAAGGACGCGGCGAAACCCAACCCCATGTTCGGGGTGTCCCCGTGGGCGTGGAGGGGGGAGGGGAGCCGCCCGCTGGGCCCTCCTCCTCCTCCTCCTCCTCCTCCTCCTCCTCCTCCTCCTCCTCCTCCTCCGAAACTTGGGGGCGGGAGTACACAACCCCTCCAGATCGACCGACGGCGGGGGCGGTTGGACCCTCGGGTCTTTCCCCTGCCTCGCGACGCAAGAGCAAAACCGACTGCGCCCCTGGCCCAGGCGAGTCGCATCGACCGCCGTCTGGCCCGCGGCTTCTTCTGGCGCCCCTTTCGGGCCCTCAGACCACGAGCGGGTCGCAACTACTGGTCGTTTGGCTCTGCCTCGGGGCTGGCACAAGGGGTGTGGTAGCGGAGGTCAATCGTTGCGCCCGACTCTGTCGGAGGGTAGGCTGTGCCAGCGTTGGTCACCGAATCTCGCTGAGGTGGCCCCCCCGTCTGGGCCGGCTGGTGTTTGCAAGTCGTGGACCGATGTTGTTTCTTGTGTTTCTAGGTCGCGCGTTTTTGTGCCTTCAGCTGCCGGCGGCTTCCGTGTGGCGTCCGTCACGTGCTGGTGCAGGCACGCGCCTGGCATCGAGAGCGGTTCGGGCTAGGTTCGTCCTGCCCTCCATGGTGCCAGAGCGAGCCCTGCACTCGCCTAGAGCCGCCCTCGGACCCACTGCAGAAGGGCCACCATTCAGGACAGAGGTCCGGTTACCACTACCTTTCTCTGCCCCCCTCACCCCCCGTTCTTTAGCTTAGGCTGGCCGTGCACCCTTGGTCATCCTGTGGCCCTGTGAAGGAACGGAGACGGAGACGCAGAGACGGGGAACCCCTGCGAGAGTGATCCTGGCAATTATTGGCGGCGCGCAGAGGGGGGTAGGGGAAAGGGAGAAGGCTTCTTACAAGGAGGCTACCTCTTAGAAGTCGCCCGCCTTACATCTACAGGCAAGGCCCGCGCCTTCTAAGAAGCAGGGGTGCTTCCAAGATGCCCCCCCCTCCCCCTTTACCCCCCGCCTGCGCGCGGCCGAGACCAGGCGAGCCTCTGAAGCCCTTGGCCCGTCCCCTGTGCCCGGCGGGCGCGCGCTGCCGACCAGCCGCCGCGCCGCACCCACGATTTTCTAGTCAGCGGCCGCGGGCGAGCGCGCCGGCGGCGAGTCAGGTCAAAGCGGGCCACGCAGAGACTGATTAGCAGAGGCAGCGCGCACAGGC